TGCGGGCATCTAGTATTCGTTTGATCGTTGTCTACTCCATCCTCACTACTTTAGAGTCGTCGTTCTCCACGATCTAACGATATGCCACAAGTCAATCGGACCGCGCGGTGGCTTGGTGTTGACCAAGATGGCCAGGACATGGTCTATGCAAGGAACCAGAAGTAAACAGCCATAGTCTCGGCGACCACGTTTTTCATTTGTTAGAAGGGGGTTAGTGGTTAGGTACGAGGTAATGGGTAGGTAGTATGCCCCTAGGCGGGGCGATCAAAGTCGCAACGCATCCCGGCCGGCGTAGAGACACAGCATGACATACAGCCGAGGCCGTACCGAGCATACCATACCATACAGAGGCCCCTCCCCGAATCCGAACTTGGGTCTTGGGTGTGAAGGGCCGATATCGAAAAGCAAGTTGTTGTCAATGGGTTATGTAGGTTGACAGCGGCATCATGGGTACCTAGATTGTGGATAGCGCCCAAAAAGCAAATATTTAAGATGATGATCGTCCGCCTCTGTTGTCAGAGAGAGAAGGGCAGAGACACCCGCTCTTCTCTCAGTCTCCCGATCTTTTTCACGAAACGGAAACGAGAGAAAAAAGATGCCTTCCATCTCAAATCTTGCGCTGGCTGGCCTTTTGGCTGCTGGCCAGGGGGCTAGTGCTTCGCTCGTTGGGGCTATTCAGTTGGAGAAGTTTATCAAGCAGGGTAAGTTTTGCGGTTTGGTTCCTGGGGGGAGAGGAGTGAGGATCTGTGTGTTTGCTGACTTGCATTTTGCCGTGACACAGAGACCCCCATTGCTCTCCAGGCTGTCCTCGACAACATCGGCCCCGACGGAATCAAGGTTCCTGGTGCTGGACGCGGTCTTGTGATTGCTAGCCCGTCTACTTCCGATCCTGATTGTGAGTTGGACCCAGTCTGCCGCCAACATGCCTTGCATGAATGTGCTGTCTAACCATGAGAAACCACCAGACTTCTTCACCTGGACTCGTGACGCGGCCTTGACTTTCAGGACGCTGATTGATGATTTCGTGTTTGGAAACAAGGCTCTTGAGCCGTTGATCAACGATTATATCTACGGTCAGGCTCGTCTCCAGACTGTGAGCAACCCTTCGGGGACGCTTTTGCCCAACGGTGCTGGGTTGGGTGAGCCGAAGTATATGAAGGATGGTTCGAGGTATAATGGGAACTGGGGGCGTCCTCAGCGCGATGGGCCTCCTTTGAGGGCTATTTCGTTGATTCAGTACTCGAATTACCTTGTCTCGAAGGGGCAGAAGGCGAGGGTGAAGGATGAGATTTGGCCCATCATTGCTAATGATCTGGCTTATGTTGGACAGTACTGGTACGTTTCCATTTTGTCCTTGTTGAGGTGATATCTGCTGTTGTGTCCTCCGTATCCTGCCGGCATATCAAATGCAGTGGGAAGGATGACGGGATGGCTAGCAGAAGGGACCATGCAGCTTACTTCGACAACGTGGCCCGCGTGACCCGCGTGACGGCATGACGAGTCTGGGGAAACACAAAACTGACAGTTGTTTTGTCTCTAGGAACTCCACTGGCTTCGACCTCTGGGAGGAGGTGAACGGTGCCTCGTTCTTCACCACCCAGGCTCAGTACCGCTCTCTCGTCGAGGGCGAGGCCCTTGCCAAGGTCCTCGGTCTCCCCTGCACGGCCTGCACCGAGGCTCCCCAGGTCCTCTGCTTCCTCCAGTCCTACTGGAACGGCAAGTTCATCACCGCCAACTTCATCCAGGGCAACCACAACCGCGGCGGCGTCGACGCCAACACCGTCCTCGGCCCCCTTGTCGCCTTTGACCCTTATGCCCCCTGCGACTCCCCCAGCCTCCAGCCTTGCCACCCTCGCATGCTGGCCAACTTCAAGAACTTTGTCGACACCTTCCGTGACCCGGCCTTGTACCCCATCAACAAGGGCATCCCCCAGAACAAGGGCATCGCTCTCGGTCGCTACCCGGAGGACATTTACTACAACGGTAACCCCTGGTACCTCATCACCCTCGGTTCCGCCGAGTACCTCTACGCCGCCATCGCCAGCTGGGAGAAATCCGGCGGCATCACCATCACCCCCACCTCCCTCCCCTTCTTCAAAGACCTCTACCCCTTGGCTCGCGTCGGCACCTTTGGCAAGCTCCATCCCGCGTACTACCTCATCAAGGGCCTAGTCAAGACCTACGCCGACTCCTTCGTTGCCGTCTCCCAAAAGTACACCCCCAAGGACGGCATGATGGCCGAGCAGTTCCTCAAGGTCGAGCCCTTCACCCCCATCTCCGCCAGAAACCTCACCTGGTCTTTTGCCGCCTTTGTCGGGATGAACCACCGCCGACAGGGCCACCTCCCTCCCTCGTGGGTCCCCAAGAATGTCAAGGTCCCTGATGTCTGCGTTGGTACCTCTGTCAAGGGCACCTACGCCCCTGCCACCCAGGCTGGTGCTCCCAATGTTACTATTCCTTGCATCTCCAACGTTCTGTTCCAGCTCAATGCCTCGACGTATTATGGCGAGAACCTTTATGTTGTGGGCAACTCGCCCACGCTGGGTAGCTGGGATTTGGAGACGGCGTACCCGCTGATGAGCAGCAGGTATACTGACGAGAGGCCGCTTTGGTTCGCCACCATCCCGCTTGAGATGGAGGAGGGTGTGTCCACGCTGAGGTACAAGTATGCCAGGCAGCAGGATTGCGGGCAGGAGTGGATTGTGGAGGAGGAGGAGAGGGTGTTGGAGGTGCCGGCTTGTGTGAAGGATGGGAGTGAGGAGGTTTTGGCGGAGAGGGATGAGGCTTTTAACGGGCCTGCTGGGTCTCCTGGCGGTTGCTAGATGTTTTGTTTTGAGGAGAGCATCTGAGAAGGGGTTGTTGTACATATATGAAATCTTTGGTTGCGAAAAGAAAAAGCATGGAGAATTGACACATGGGGGGGGGTTGTGGGGTGTAAGGTATATTACTGAGATATAAAATTCAACTTGCACATAGTTAAGCCTTACCTTTGGTATGATTTCAACGTGGAACTCCGCAGACAATGATTGCTTCTTGCTTGACCTCCAGTGAACATCGAAAAGTGGTATATGCCCAACTGTCTATCTCTATGCAAAGAATCAACAAAAGACCGCCTACGCTTGCTATCCCAACCCAACGCCTCCAGCCAAAACTACAACTTCGGAGCAGGATCAATATTAACCTTCCCATGCTCACACACAGCCACGACCGCCCCGTTGTCCTTCCGCTTCATCACACCCCTCAAGGTAGCCATCTTCGCCCCGATCTGCAAGATGTCACACTCAATCAAGACCTCGGTGCCGACCGGGGCTGGACGGAGATAGGTGGTGTTCAACGTCCGGGATACCCCCAGATACTGCCAGAACCCGGGCTTGGACACAAGGGCGGTGGCGGTGGAGGTGCAAAAGTCAAAGAGGGTTGCCGTGCAGCCTCCGTGGAGGTTGTTGAGGCGGTTGCAGTGCTGGGGCTCGACGGTGAAGCTGAAGAGGACTTTGGGGTGGGGTTGTTCGTCTGAGGCGGAGACGAGTTTGAGGTTGGGGAAGAAGGAGTTGGTCCATTCCTGGGAGGGGTGGTTAATAAAATATATACTAGGGATGCCTGGGGGAAACATACCTCGTCTTCCTTGTTGATGGCTTTTTGAGAAAAGGTCTCGATGAGAGCCCTGACTCTGGCCTCGCCCTTGAGGTTGAGGTAGTCTTGGTCGTGTTCCCACGCGCCGCTTTTGTCTTTGGACATGGTGTTGAGTGGCTAGGGGGTTGAGATCCAGGCGTGGGTTAGGGTTGTAGGGCTGAGGAAGGTAATGCGGTTGGCTGCAACTAGTACCAAAGAATAGAGTAACAATCGGATGTCACGTATGAGTTTACAGATCGAATCTAGACCGACCTGAATGAAGAACAGGCACACCAAACAACGTCCACGTCCAACAACACATGCAACATACCGGGCTCATCTGGGGGCTTAAAAGGATATATGGGATTCCCCCGCGTATTTCCCATCTCTAGCCCCTGCTTTTCAGGTGGAGGTTACCCCAACTGCATCACTGCGAAATCCGAACCTGGGGAAACGTGCCTCGGCAAATCGCGTCAGGAACCCCTGCCCGCTACCGCTAGCTTAAACATGCTTAACCGCACCAACCCTTGTCGGTGATCGCATCCGTCGCAATCACATTCAAATCTTGAGATCTCATCTACACATCACATATGCGCCAACCATCACAACCCCGTTGACCATCTTCAACACGGTTCAGTTCATCCCGGAGAACAGACCCAAAATGGAGTTCGTCACCGCCCTCCGCGGCTCCTTCGACCCAGGCAAACCCTCCCTCTTCGAGCTCCTCTCAGAACAACAACTCTCCTCCCTCCTCCCCCCAACCCTCCGCTACCTCCTCACCCTCCTCACCCACCGCTACCCCCGCCACCTCCTCCGCGCCCTCAACTCCTTCGACGAGCTCTACGCTCTCCTCTCCCTCCTGATAGAGCGCCACTACCTCCTCACCCGCCAGGGCTCCTTCACCGAGAACTTCTACGGCCTCAAACGCGAGCGCGCCCTCACCTCCGAAATCCCCCGCGCCTCCACCCACGCCCCCCAAATCGTGCGGGAAGCCCTAGCCCTCAGAACAAAAGACGTCTACAAGAACCTCTTCGTCATAGTCCTCATCCCCTACCTCAAAAGAAAACTAGATGAAGCCCACGAGGTCGACGCCCCCAGGGCCTTGCTCGGAGCAGCCTACAACGCCCCCCCATCACCCAGCGCTCCCCTCAAGGAAAAACTGGGTTATTACTACAAAATCTTCCTCAGGAAAATCTACCCGACAATCAACATGACCTACCACCTCTCCATCCTCGCCTTCTCCCTGGGGTACCTCTTTGACAACACGAAATACTCCTCCCCCTTCCTGTGGCTCATCGGCACAAGAATCCGCCGTATGGGACCGGCAGATTACAAGGCGATAGAGGAGTGGGAGAAGGTTCTCCCCGCGGATGGGACCAGATCGAGGTCAATCTTCCAGAGACTGCTCTCCTCCCTTTCCTTGGTGCTACCGACTAGTATCTTTGCGCTCAAGTTTCTGGAGTGGTGGTACTCGTCGGATTTTGCAAAGCAGCTCTCTAGGAAGGCGGCCGAGTCGCTCCAGCTTCCACCGCCGGGGATGACCACCACGCCCAAATCTGTCTCCCCAAAGAAACAGCCGCCTCCCTCCCTCTCTGAGCTGTCCGACATCCCCCCAGCAGAGGAAGAGTTGCTCGAACAACTCGCCTCCTCTGCCCCCGTCGCGTCGTCGTCTCTCTTGCCTATTTTCACCGTTGCTGCCATCCCAAGAGAGGAAGATGACGATGGTGAGGAGGACAAAAAGCGGCAGGAGGAAGATAGCAGTCTGTGTCCGATCTGCCAGGAAGAAATCACCACGCCGACCGCGTGCCAGACGGGGATTGTTTACTGTTACGGCTGCATTCACAAGTGGATCTCTGGTGCGAATCCGCATCAGGAGAGGTTTATGGAGAGGGTTGAGAAAGCACTTGGAGGGAGCAGCAGGAAGTGGGAGAGCGGGGAGGGGAGGTGCGCTGTTACGGGGAGGAGGGTGTTGGGTGGGGTGGAGGGGTTGAGAAGGGTTATGGTATAACTGAAGAAGGAAGGGGGGGCTTC